AAGACTCGATCTAATGGCCGATCTCTAATTCGGACAAAAGGCCGTATGATAATTTATGGAACTTGTTTATTAGTCGACATGATTTCGAACTAGAAATGAAGTGCCATAAGAGAATCAGATACGATTTCGTGGAGGAGTTCAAATTCCATGTCTATCGCATTGGCCAAAGTAGAAAACTTAACATGTCTATATTTGGAATTGCGGAGGAGTCTTGTTACCGACCCTCGTTTTATCCCTCGGTTCATAGTACAAAGCATGCGCACGAAAATCGATAAACGCAACAATTTCCTTTCCTTGGCCAACAGTTTTTGTTGAGAATTTTTGTGCAGTTTATCGATAGAAGTGGGTGAATCTTTCACCGCCTGATGCTGCTTTCCGAACGGACCAAAATTAATTGGAGAACGAAGTCAAGAACTTTTATTTAACTCTCGCTTTGAACCCTTTACACCCTAACATCAGTATGCAAACTCTCCATTCTATGTTCTATACATTTCCTACGGTGCTGACAAGGAGAATTTGTTTAACAATCAAGCGCTTCCTTAGTTAATGACCATTTCCTTTATTCTCGTTAACTAAATAGGTGATGTGGTGAGGAGAAATTAGGTGTTAATCACTCCTGGAAAGAATAACAGATCACAGACCTACACCCGTGTAATTAAAAGCGCGTTTTCCTTGTTTGTTGTGTCAATGCAACGCTGCTGTAAAAATTACTTAGAATGTATTTGCATTTATAAATGCAACTTGCCAAGAAGAACACCTTAGTATTTGTTTGGGGTTTTTCCTTCTCTCTCACAGTTCCCGTAGCCTCCCCGCGAGGCACCCAAAAATGCAGAGTGCTGTGGTGGTTGAGGGTGAGTGTACACTCATTTCAAGCCCTTCTTATGAGGTTTCGATTAAAGCATACTAAGTCGAAAAAAATACCGCAAGGGCACGTTTCTCGAAGATCCCGATAACTGAAAGGACCCCTGAAGCTGTTCTTTTTTCATTCAAGAGGGAGGGAGGGAGGGAGGGAAGAAGTCCGAAAGTTTTTCTATTTACACCTTGGAACCCCCAGAAGTGACTAAAATGTAACTTCTCCCTGTAATATTCATATCTTATTCAGCAAACAGGTTATAGGAATACTCGAACTTTTTCGGGGAGCATTTATCGTGATCGCACACCAAATTCTCCTAACCAATTTACAGGGAGCTGTGTAGCAGCTAGAGCAGAGAATTCAAAATCAAACATAGGGTTAACCTCGGTCACAACATGGGCAGCCTTTTCCATTTCTACTTTTAAAAATACTGAAAAAAATTCGGGTATAAACAGACTTGTATGACTTATCTTTCAACAACATGGAACGTGCTACGCATGTACCCTTAGCACTGAGGTCACATCCTGTCATGACAATCCTAACTTTAAAAATTCCATCCAATAAAATAAGGCTTGCTTAAGCCATGCACTTTTAGTAAGGGGCTGGTAATTTCACAAGAAAAGCAGTTCTGACAATTTTGGTAAAAACAGGAAAAGAAGAGTAATTTGAAGGAATTTC